CAATCCCTAGATATTGGCATATGTATTGCCAACAGAGCCCTTATTTCCCCAGATTTAGAAGATCTGCCCCTTTATGGAACACAGTTTTCCAGCAATGTGGACTTCTCCCTGCCACAGCACAGGAGTCAACTGATGTGTATAAATTTAAGGGGAAAATAGGCATCAGTAGCAGTCACATTTGCAAATGATACTTTATAAAGACTCTGAACTCCTTAATAAAATAGTAAAATAAAACAAAAAGCACCCTCAAGCACGTACCAAAGAAAGGTGTAGAAAGTATGGGGCTGTTAAATGCATGCTGGTATGCTAAGGAGAACCTTTAGACCTCCTGCCCTGACATACTAATAGAGACTTTTAACTTCTATAGCAAGAAATACAGACATACATACACAGAAGTTTCTACTGTATCAAGATTATACCCAGAACTGTTAAAAATGACACAAAAATATACACAAACCTACAAAAAAGGAAGTATAACTTTAAAAAATGGAAAAAAAAAAAAAGAAAAAGTACAGATTTAAGGCTACAGTCTACGATATTAAAGAATCACTGTTGAAAAAGAAAGCTTGCAGTGAATTTGTAGGAAGCAAAAGGGGAAAAGAGTCCTGCCAAGCATGGAGAATATTTTAACAGCATGGTCTTCTACCATGAAGTCAACAGCAGAGGTCAAGGCCATTCATAAATTCTAAAAATAATATAATATCTACCAGACCTCTGTCTCTCTGGTAGGTATAATTCTGATAAGTGTCTATTCTAGATAATATTTAACATAAAAGTTTATTTACAAAAATACTTGCAATAGCCTGAAATCAGATTTAAGCAGAATCACCCGTTCAAGTCAGTAAAGGTTACATATAAACGAAGATCATGCTGTTGGGTTGGTTTTTTTGTTCTGAGTTGGGTTGGGTGAGGTCCTGGGGGTTGCACAAGTAGTGTCTATTAAAAAACACTGATCCATGTGAATGGCTCAGGAACACACAGAAGTCCCTAAAATATTTTCAATGCTTGATCAAAGATTTGACCGTAAACCCAAAGAAGTCAATGACAGTCTTTCAACACCCTTTAACAGATACAAATCAGACTCTAGAATATCACGAAACACTGAAGAGAATTCTCCTTGTCTTAATGACAACAACTGAAATATAACTATTGATAAATGTATGCAACTTACGTTAAAATAGTAATATACTAGATTACATCACACTGTGTTACACCAGTAGAACTGCCAGGAAGAAACCACAGTAGGAGTTTCAGTCCTTTGTTTCTACCAGAACTTCTGAGAAAAGCAAGTACAGATGTGTACATTCATGAGTTAATATGCAAATTAGAGGGAAAAGACACACTTGCAGAAGCAGCTTTGGGTAAGAGCTAATGCAGCGGAAAGGTCATTCTCCCCAATTTTTACTGTTGCTTCAAGCAACCACTACATTTTCTGAGGCCATTCTGAAAACTGCGTAATTGGCATGACCACGAGGCCTAGACGGGTACCCTGATTCAGATGAGCAATCTCCCTAAATCTGTCTGGATTCGCAGTGTAGGTTTCCATCAATGACATCACACAATCACACATATCTTCTTTTTCAAGCCCCCTTTGCTATTGTTTAGTTTAGAAACCATTATTTCTTAGGAAATGTCATTCATGGAGGGGGGATCTACACACACAGACATACAGGTATGATTCACCCTCTCTAAAAATTAAACATGTAAAAATATTTCAAAAACAAAGGCATGTTCTGCATGCATATTAGCAGGAGAAAAAACATTTTTAAAGCAATAAGGGAACTTGAGTTTGCTTAAGAGGCTCTTGCAACCCAAACACAAGCAATGTTATAAAGAAAGTTACCAGCGAGTAACTTAAAAAGAACTGTAACTGTGGACATCTAATAAAAGTAACTGAAGGAGAAAAAGAGAAATGTTCTGGCTGACAGCAGGGAGTTGGCACAGTCAATAAGGTAGCAAGGGATTTTAAATGCCTAAACTATGTTTAGTAGATACTATCAGCAAGTATAACTGACTTGAGAAAGGCGATATTCTAACAGGGGGAAAAAAAATTAACGTTTAATCTAAAGATTCACTCTTAGTGTGAAACGTCTTCTTCATTCCTGGTCACCCACTCCTTTTCACCATGTCAGCTGCAAGACAGACGCGGTCCAAAAAAGGTATGTTATCAAGGTTCAGAAAGCAATGCTGTCAAAACAAGATATACTCAATGCTGGTCATTTATTGACTTAAGAGAACCATGTAGCCTATTTTTTCCCTGCACCTTAGTCTTTGCTTATGGCAATTTATATTGCAGCATAAGTATACCTGAAAAAAAGATGAAGACTTACACTACCAGAAATTTAAAAATATTGCAGACTTTGAAGGGTTAATCACAGCTGTAGAAGTCTGCAAAATGTATGATGCCTCATATGGTTGATACATCAGGGAAAAAAAACCTGACTGGAAATAACAAGGATCTAGCTTGGATGTAGAGTGCAGAGATGCAATGCTGCTGAAATGATCACATGAAGGAAGAAAGACTTTACAACCCCCATACCATGCTGACATGGGACAGCTGAAACCCACCTTGGGGTATCAGGCCTGACATGGTTTTAAACTATGAGTGCTTTATTACAACACTTTGGAGCATGAACAAACTTGTGCCCAATTTCCTCTTGTTTTAGCTGGAACGCAGCACAGAAATGAAAAGCAAAGATCAGTTCAAGGTTTGTTAGCAAGAGTGAGCTTTTACACGTGTAACACCCTCAGATGAGTCTTTCAGATTTGCCCTGCCAGCAGACAAATACCTGAGCACGCACCTATTCATTCAAATCTGTACTGCTAAAATGACCTCTACATGAATTTACCTTGGAACTTGTAAGGGCTTTGCACAGGCTCCCGGCTGCACCTGTTAGCATAAAGCCACTGGCAAGCGCAACATTTTGTTAAATAATGGGGCTGAGTTTGGAGATTTGAGATGATGACACATGTCCTAATCTGAACTACAGATCAGGATGCCTGAAGTGTCGCAACCTTGCAGATCTCCATCACCTGAACAGAACTCCACAAATGCAGCAACAGCTCTGAGCGCTAAAAATTGCAGGATTTCAATCCTGCAAAGTAACAGCTATGCTTACCTTCATATTTTACTGAGATACGAGCGGAGAGAACAAAGACAGGAAAGTGTATCAAGCCTGTGCCATCATCAAGCCTGATGATATACCCATTTACTGGTATAGAGGTAAACAGATGGGAAGAGCTACCGTGGACTAATGTCAGATGAAGTGACTCCTTTGAAAGCTTCATGAGAAACTGTCATTCAAAACGTTAACTACTGATGACAACCATGCTCCTACCTGCATTTCTCTATTTAACGTGCATGTCCCTGCAAAGATGACAACCTTGACTCAGCGCAAGCAGCACTTACGCAAGAGTTCTCATGGCTGGCAGGAGCTACTTGCCCAAGTAACAGTGCTCAATCACAAAGGCAGTAAAATACTGGGTCTTTATTTTCAGGCATCCCATCAGTCTTCTGGTGAACTTTTCTCACCATATAAATAATGCAGTTTATGAAAATTTCATCAGGTAAAATAACTAGAAAACAGCAACTTCATCTTCCTTGATTCAAGAAAACACATTTAAGCCAAGCCTGGATGGTAACAAATATCCAGCTACATGCAAAGTTCAGTATGAAGGTGGGATATAGCCCTTTTAAGTTGAGAAAGATGTATTAAAAAGTACATTCTTTAGAGACTATATCTGAAATGGTCAAAGCAGAAGTGAAGCATGGCTTGCAAAACAGTAAGGAGATTGCAGAGGTAGCGAACAGATCTGAGAATAAAGTGAAAATATTTAGTCTTTTTTTCCCTCATGGATAGATAGGCTCTTTTCCCTCCTCAAAAGCATCATTATTTTAAGTATTAAGTTTTTCATTTCAACACTATTTCTTCAGAAATATTTAGCATCATATAAATATGGAAAACACTACTCATCCTCTTCACCCCACTCCAAGAATAAGGCAGACGTTTCATTCCCTGAGGGCAGTTGCATATCTCATGATGAGGAAAAAAAAAAAGACTTGAGAAAGGTAAAGGCAAATTCTGTTACTGATTATTTCACTGAGCTTTAGCACAAAGCTTTGGCAAGCCTGTTTGACACAGGAAGAGTCTGTGCAACTATTCTAACTAAGTCATACTGTCAGATGCGCTTAATAACTTGTAACATTGATTATGAAACCAGATAGTTCATGAAAGTAAGTGTCCTTTATGAGATACATGAACACCTGTTTGCTGAAGAAATGCATGCTCTACGAGTCAGCCAAGGAATACAAATTCAAACGACACTTGCATATTTCTCTTCCACCAAAAGTGAGGAGATCAGTTTATCCATTTATCCCTTTCAAATGCGTCAAGTTTTAACAGCCCTCCTCCTTCTGGAGGCATTTTTCTATATATACAAACCAAATGTTCCTACAGTTAAAATACAGAAATAATATGTTGCCAAAGGCTTGTAAGGTTTAGTTTTTACACTTAACCAGTTAAAGTCCAGTGCAAACTTATAATCATGCATCTTAACAAAAACAGATTCCTGACACTATGGTTTTCTTATTCTCTTCTCAACATTTCATCGGAGGCACAGCACACTCAAACACCAGCTAAGAAAGAATAACCATTATAGGACACACGAGAGCAATTTTACTAAGCTCTCATTATAGGAAAAACAACATTTATAGTAGTAAGAGCTCATAAACATACTAGAGCTACACATTCAAATCTAATAACTATAGAATATAATATGTTCTTTTTAAATATTAAAGCCAGCACTTCGTTTTTGTTAAAGGCAGAGTAAAAACACAGCAAATCTAACAATAAGAACTGAAATGCAAATGAAGAATTATGTATCAGCTTGAGAAATACTGCCCTCGTCCCCATTTTAATCCATGCCTTTTATGTTTAATGCAGGGGAAGAAGAAAATAAAGAAGGGAGAGGTAGAGGACAGAAGTAATTTGCCTGCTCACCTGGACACATTTTCTGGAATGTACTCTAGAACTGGATACCCATCACTTCTTCTGGATGCCAACTCCGAATGCGACTTCCAGGTCTCCACTAGCGTGCTGACAGGAGGGAACGAGCTCAAGTGCTGAAATGCCTGCTCTCGAGCAACCGGTCGCGACAAAGATATCGTGCCTTGGGCACCGATCCTGTAGTGAAATGACTGTCCACCTGAATTTACACCCACAATGGCAGAGGATGGTATACTGTTTTCTTGGTAGTAGCTGCCATCATCAGGCTCCTGCTTAATGCCCATACGTAGGCCTGGATTTGGAAAACCGCTACCTTCACAACTTCCGTCAAATGAAGAAACAGGTGGTCCTAAAATCCCAGAAAGAGAGTAATAGTCTTTGTCATCCATAAAAGAAAAATATGAGCCATCTGTAAATGGGAAAGGATTTACTGTTTGATTCCCTTTAAAAGACGCACCAGAGCACGGATGCTTGGCTGACTCTTGCTTCACTGGTACTGAAAAGGGGGAATCGGAGTTTATTTTGCTGCTGTCACCAATGCACGCGCTACCAAAGGAACCGTCTGGCTCAGGCTTTATGAACTGAACAAGGTTCATCTGACTGTTGTTGGAGATGGCGTCCTCCATTTCCTCCATCTTAGGAAATGTGAGTTCTTGAGCACCCTTGTCTTTTGCTTCTGGACTAGGAACAGTATCTTGGCTTCTGCTAGGTCCCGCTGGCGTGCTGGAAGCTGGGAATCCTAGGGAGTTGTTTATGGGGCTACAGATGGATGATCCCACAGTGCTAACCGCTGGACTAGAACGAGTGGACCTATTATTGGCATTGGAAGGGCTGGCAATGGAGCTCCTCGAGTTCAGGTTCGCAGGACTGGACACAGAAGATCGCATAGTGATATTACTGGGACTTGAGACAGGAGATTTCACGCTGCAATGACTGGGAGGACTAGAAATTGGTGATTTCATGCTACTTATAGGGCTAGAAAGTGGAGACCCCACATTGCTAACGTGTGCGGGACTGTGCAACATAGACCCCCGGTTTTCAACGTTCGGCGAGCGTGACAAAGGGGTTCCCTGGCCAATGGGGCTGTGCACGGCAAAGTTCCCAAAGTTAGCAGTAGTTGAGGACACAGAGTTAACTCCCGCAGGACTACACACCGAGGAAGCCATGTTCTGAGGGCTGCAGCCCGAAGGGCTTTTCTCTTGACACATGATAGGGCTTTTGACAATAGCGTGCATGGCACCACCGTTTACAGCGCTCCCAGAGTCCGACATCAAAGACCTCAAGGGTCTGCTGGTGCTGTGGAGGGGAGAAGAGCAGTGGCCATTCTCCTTGTAGAGCTTCACCAGCTGCCCCACATTCTGGTACATCTTCCCTGGGCTTCCCTGGTTCTGCTGATCGTAGGGGTAATCGGCATCTCGTATCGAATCCATATATAAACCCATGGACTCAGCCACTGTTGCTGACAGCTCCTTGGATTCCGTTTCAGTTTTGATGTCAGAGGGTAGAAGACCAGGCTGACTGCTGTCTTGCTGCAGGCAGGAGAGTAGCTCAGGCTTTTCTTTGTTGTTTCCTTGAGCGCTGCTGTTTGCAAAAGCTCCAGCAGCACAGCTTACGTTTACAATCTCCATATAGTTATTGTCATCAGTCTGCTCTCCAGCACCTATAGAATACTCCACAGACTGAGAAACTTGACCCCACCGTCTCTCCATATCTAAGCCTTCTGGGTAGCTGTGGTATCCTTTTGTCTCCATAACTAGCAAAGACATATACAAAAAAGTTAAATTAATAAATGACAGGACAGTGTGACTTCCTAAGGAAATTTCCTAATTTCCTAAGGAAACAAGGCGTATCCGCTCACTCTGTCTATCCTCTTCTCTGCCTGCCAGTCCCGTTTCCCTGCCCCATCCATCATCTCTCAACCATTTGTGCAATTTCAATCAAACCAAGGGAAAAGGTCTCACAGATATGACAGCCCTATAGATTCTGAGAGAAAACTGCTCAGCAGTCAGAAAAGATCCAAATTATTGCTCCCAGCCTTGCCCCAAAAAGAACAGCTCTGCAGCATCAGCACAACCACTGCCCACCGTTGCTGGCCACAGCCCCACGGTCAGTGCTGCCCCTCTCTCAGGGACCTGGAAGAAAGGGAAGGGGGTAGCAAGGACAAAGGGGGAACCAGAGAGGTCCTGAAAGGACACACTGGTGGTAGGCAGGGCATAAACGCTGTGGAAATTGGACATTACATCTCCGCTCCTCCAAGGACCTTGCGCTACCATACTACAGGGAGAGCAAAGCAAGGCAGGCTGTTGCGCTAAGGGCGTTTCTCTTCATCACCCAGTGTAACACAGGATGCTTCAGAGGGAAGCAGTAGTTCTGAGGGGCCAGGATCTGGTCTGCCCCTCCACAGTTATGCAAACTGTTTGTACGATCACCTGAGGAAACCTGGAGGATTGGCTGGGCAGGAAGAGAAGCAAGCTAAATGCAAGCTAAATGGGAAACGTTTCTGCCACAGAGGAAGGGCATCAGATTAGGCAGGGATGCACCGCTGTTAAATGGATCTGTAGTTCTGCAAACCTCCACGGCAGTCAGGAAGAGGAATATATCTAGAGAAGTAAACCTTGTTCTAAAACAGACCCTAAAAAAAAACTTCCATCCTGCAGGCCACTCTCTCAAGGAAGGGAGCAAAATGCATGACCTAGCTACCAGTGTTCTGAACGTCATGTGTAAGTAACAACAATTTTATTTCCTTTTTTTTTTTAAACTAATAGGTTTACAGTATCATTAGAACTGTAGAAACTCAAGTGCCAATAGTTACAGTATCAATATTATGCAAATAGTTTTTCCTTTCAGAATGTATTGATTTTCCAACATTTGATTTCATGTTTAATCCCATTACTTAACACTACTTAAAAATGTTATTATAAAGAAAATCATAAAACAACCCCCCAAAAAAACTAAATTAATGACTCAAATACTCTTTCCCCTTACTCTGACCTATGGCTCTATGCCTACATTCCCCTCAAGCAAATTTTATTAGAAGACAGAATCATGTGTATCCCACCACCACGAGTATCAAATCACATTCCTATAGTCTAAATTTCGAGACAGAAGTCCCTACTTTCATATAAAGTCACTCCCAGAAAATCTCCTACCCCTGAGTTAAGTGCTGAGCAAGCCTAATTCCTAGATAAATCAATTGCAGCTGCAAGTGACCAGAATTTCTGAAAACCAGTAAACTTATTTAAGGCTTAAAATTAGGATGTAAGTGAATTTTACCCCTCAGAACCACCAGCAGAACCCCTGCCTACCAGGAAATCCCAGTTATAGGCCTAACACTGCACAGGTGCACAAGCCTTGCAGCTACCTCTCCCACAGCTGTAAATTTCAAACTCCATACATAATCAATAAGTGAGCACACTCTGAAACTTCAGCAAATAAAAATCCAGGTCACACAAAGGAAAAAGAAATAAAAAACTGAAATGGCCTGGTCCTGCACTTGCACAGAGAGAAACACCGTCTGGGCCATACATCCGAAAGGATCAAAGAACAGCAGAAAGATTAGCTGTGGCCTGATACAAGTTCTGTTTAAAATGACAGCTATACACCAGTAAAATGCAGCAGCAAACAGATTCTCGGGGAGTGCTGTTTTCTGTGCCTTGGTGGGTATTGGAACTGAATAACCATTTCACGGCTTGCTGACAGCATAAGGGTTTGGGTTTGTTCTTCTCAGCAGAACTTATTACAACTTGACTAGCATGTTTATCTATGGTATCCACACTTCACCTACTGCACAGACATGCCTTTTTACTAACTTTCACTACCTGAATATGACTGTGGGCTAACACAGACCAGAACAGAAGCCGACTCATGTTACATATCAGAACCAAGACCATCTGATATTCTGCAGAAGGAAGCTTATATTATGAGCACAGCAGTTTCCCCAGGACACACACCACACACCCGCCCCCCCCAAACAAGAAGTACTCGGACACTGCGAGTTACATATTTCACCCCAAACATATCAACAAACACAGACCTCTGCAGTATAAGTCTCTGATCAATCAGGCATGAAACCAGTTTCACGGCAACAGTCGAATAAAAAATAGAAATCAAATGGTACCTGGTATCCCTGCAACCAAAAGGTCACCTAGATACGGGAAAACCTGAAGTAAATCCCGTTTCGTAAAAAAATCCTAACCCGATGGCTCGAGCGACCACCCACTTCTTATTACCCGGTGTTTGTAAAGCGAAATTTAAGTGTCACTGCCTGCGAGCAGCTCCGCCGACATAAAACCGACCAGGAGACAGGAGTTCCGTCTCGAGACATAGGCTAGGGTTTGCCCACTCTCCCCCGGGCACCGAAGCAGGGCGGGGAGCGCGAGTAGTGTCCCTCGTGTCCCCCGCGGCGTGGGACTGCTCCCTCTGTCCTCACACGGCCGGACACGCGTGTGAACGACCGCGCAGGCAGCGCTCGCGTCTATCTTCCTATCTGCCCTACGCGGCGCGGAGCATCCATCACAGCAGCTCCCGGCCACTACCACCGCTCTGCACCCCTAATCCGCCACCCCAAACTCCCCGTCAGCTGTCCCGCAGGTACAATCCGGATTATCGCTCATGGGAAAAGCCAGCAGTGCCCGGGAGCTCCCTCCGTCCTTCCCACGCGTCCGCCGGGGATCGACTCGGGGAAGATAATGGGGGGGTGGGAGGGGGGGGGGGGGGCGGTTAGGAAAGCCCAAACCCGCTCTCGGCCCCTAAAGCGATGCAGGAAAGCGCTTTTTCTCCCGCGCAAGCAACACTCTCCACCCTCCACGGTGGAGAGGGTCCAGGTAACGACCTAACCCCCCCCCCCCCCCACACTCCCCACGGAGAGCACTGAGGGGTGCCCCCGGGTGCCGACCCCCAAAGTGCCCCCCACCGCCCCGCCAGCCCCACCTCCGGGTGCAGATCGGGGTGCCCCCCGCCCCCCGCGTCGGCCCCGGTCCCGCGGTAACTGTTGCGGCGGGGCGAGTCCCGGAGCCCCAGCCGGAGGGGCGCGGACCGGAGCGGAGGGCGGCGCGGAGCGGAGGAGCGGTCTGCGCTCAGCCCCCTCCCCTCCCCTCCGTCCCGCCCGAGGCGAGGCGAGGCGAGGCGCGCCGTGCCGCGCCGCCCGGTGACACGGAGCGGCACCCGGGAGGGGACGTGAAAAGGTGCCAAGTCCTTTAAAAACATGTCACATGCCCACCTAAAGTCGAAGTTTACGTCCCGCCTCCAGCCCGCCCTCATTGGCGGGCGGGACGCGGAGGTACGCGCGGCTGGGGCCGGCCCGCCGCCCCATTGGCTGGGAGACAAGTCAGTCACCCGCCGGGCGACATGACTGATACAAAGTTGCTGCGACACAGGCTGGAAAACGCATCTCCTTAAAGCCGCAGCGGCAGCCGCGGCCGCGCAGCCCCCGTAGCGCGCCCCGCCGGGACCCCAACCTTGCCGCCCCGACGTGCCCCCGGGGAAGGGTCGTGGGGAGGCGAGCGGGAGCCCGCCACGGGCCGGTGAGGTGTGTGCGGCGCGGCCGCCCCCCCCCGCCCGGTGCCCGTGCCGCGCCGGCGGCAGGGCCAGGCATCGCGTCTCCGCCGGACCGGGATTTCCGCCTTGCAGAGACGCATGAATATGCAGCCGTGGTTTAACCGAGAAATCAAATGAAATGAAATAAAGGAGTGGAGCGCGGGAGGGTTCAAGGACTCGTCCTCCGCTGGCCGCCGCGCTGGCCCTGCTCCGCGGCAGCCGCGCATCCCGCCGGGCGTCCCCGCCCCTGCCTCCCCCCGTCCAGGGGCAGCGAGAGGGGTCACCGGGACAGCCCCTGGCTCCGGGGTGCAGCCACCCCGTTCTCCCGCCCGGTGTCTCCCCCCCCCCCCCCGGTACCCGCGTCCCTGCTTCAGGAATATCCTTTTCCCAGGGAAGCACCAAAAAAAAAAAAAAAAAGACGCCAAGCAAACTTTGAGGCGATGCGCTCCCAACTCGTTCCCTAAATAACACCCCCGGCGAGCGGCCGGCAGCCACTGACGCACGCTCCCAAACAGCCCCAGCACCCACCGAGCCCCACTCCCGGCCCCGACCCGGCGGAGACAGTTCCGCGGGGTAACAGGGGTGCTGCTGGGAGCGGGGCGGTGGGGCTGAGCCCGTCGGGGAGCGGCGGCACCGCGCTGGGCACCGCGCACCTTCCTCCAAAATCACCCCCTGCGCGCACGCACGCACAGAAGCGCGCAGGTCCGCGTTCGCCCCGGGGAGCGGGGTTTGTGTTCAACAGCCACAGCGACAGCGCAAACATCCCCAGGATTTGGCGTCACGTGCCCCTCTCATTTGTAGGTTCTGTCAAACATCGACCCGCACTCACGGCCCCGACGGGCACCGGCCGAGGAGGCGGCGGCGGATCCCAGAGCGACCCGCGGAGCAGCCGTCGCCACCGCGCTTCCCGGCGGCGCTGGCGCGGGCGCTGCCGAGCTATGGACGTGTCCTTCCCGCGAAGTTTTCACTGATGGGGACGGGACCGGCCGTGACCTGGATATGCCGGCTGGTGTAGCGGACACCCGCCCGGCCCCCGCCGCCCGCCCCTCGCTTCCCCGCGCCGCTCCGCGCCCCGCGCAAGTGTCCGCGCTGCACTCACCTCCTCTACGACATGGTGGCGCGGCGGGAGGAGGCACGGCCCCCGGCTACTGCGTGCAAACCATCCGGGAGCCCGCACCGACACCGAAAGGGGGAAAAAAAAAAAAAGGAGAAAAAAGGGGGGGGGGGTAAGTAGTACGCGGAGAAACGCCGGGAGCGGGGCCGGGCAGCGGGCAGGGCGCTGATCGCGGGGTCCGCGGGAGGCGGCAGCAGGGTGTCCGCGACTCGGCTCGGCGCAGCCGGGCGGACAGCTCCCACCATGGACGCCTAGGTGGGTGGGTGTTCCCGCGGGTCACACCCTCGCCCGCCGGCGGAGGGGAGCGGGGGGTGGATCCAGCACCGGCGGGAGGGGGGGAGATTTAGGAGAGGGAGAGAGAAAAGGGATCGGCGGAGAGAAAACACCCTCCAAAAAGCAAAATCCAACCGCGAATAAAAAAACTTATGTCATTCCAGGTAAAACTCCCATCTGCGCCACCAAGGAAGAGGAGGGAGGAGAGTGGCGAGGGTGTAAACTTTTTCCTCCCCCCCCCCCCCACTCCCCTCCCGCCCTCCCGGTGCCGCCCGGCCCGTCGCAGCGGCCGGCGGCCGCGCCGCCCCCGTCGTCCCTTCCCGCGCCGCCCGCCCCGGCGGCTCCCGGCGGCGCGGCGCCGCGGGGTTTCTCACGCACGGAACCCGCCGCCGCTGCCGCCGCCGCCGCGGTTCCTGGTTCGCGGAGCCGCCGGAGGAAGGGAAGGAGGGCGGGCGGCAGGGAGGCAGGGCGGGCGGTGGGGGAGGAGTGTCTCCCCGCGCCCTTCCCCAGGCGGAGCGTCTCTCCCGGCCCCGGCGGCGGCAGCTTCGGAGCCTTTCTCCCCCCCCCCCCCCCGCGCAGTTCCCTCGCTCCGACCGCTTAGGTCGGCCCTGGGACGGGGGTTCGGGAGGAGGCTGCTCACCCCCATTGGCCCTGCTCCTTCCCTCGCCACCTCCCGCCGCTGCCAGGGAGGGGGAGCCGGGCCCCTCTCTGCCCCGCAGTGTGGCCCGGGTTAACGGAGAGGGGATGGGGTGCGTCCCTGTGGCTGCAGCGGAGCAACCCGTCCTGATTTCAAACGTTCAGGTGCAAAAAAAAAACCCGAAACAACAAAATCGGTGCTAACACCGATACCGGCTTTAAATTAATATTTCACTTGTGGCTAAGACCTTTTTAAAACTGATTATTTTTAAGTTCTGGGCATTGAATGTTTCTATATTTAAACACTTAAGGAAAATAAATTAGGCATTGTAGGGAGGAAAATGTTGGCCCTATTTTAATATCCTCATTGAAGTCTTTAAACGTGTAAAAGGACTGCTCACAGGAAATTTTACCTGTGCTTAAGCCTCTGTGGGATCGAGGCCTTGGAAAAGGCGGGTATCAGGCATCTGTCAAAGTTTGTGGGCAACATGATAAATGTTAAGCACGGAAGCATACAGTGCTGGTAAGGTCAGACTTGGAGATAACGGCACATTCAATAGCTTAATTTCACAATTAGTTTACTGTATTATTGGAAGCAAATCATACTTCACTGTGCCTACGCTAGTGCTCTATTTTTAGTCCTAATGTAGCTAAAAAGGAGGAACCTACCAAGATATAGCATCAAATGTGAACAATTCTCTCTTTCACTCATGTCATGCATCTGGTTTGAAATGCAGCTAATTTATTAATCGAGCAGAGCTACTGCAGATGGGTTGCAGGCTGCAATTCCAGGGCAGAGGAAGGTTCTATGCAACTCTGCGAGTTACCCAGCAAATCACAATCCTGCAATAAGATCCCAAGCACGTTGGCTGCTCTATCAATAACTGCCGTACTGAGCACAAATATTTTATGTTAATTCATAGTGATGGTGTATTTGGCTGATGGGTTGCACTTCTTTTGTCTTACTTTTCCTGTTACTCTCCTGGGTTTTTTTCCAGGGCAAAGGTGTAAATGAAAAAGGCATCTGAAATGCCTGGAGGTAGCTGTAGTCTTTCTCTTCCATCTCTTTTCTGTTTTTTCTTTTTAAGAAAGAAAAGGAGAGAGAAAATAAAATTGAAGGAATATGTCTATCTACCTTCTGTCTAATACCAAATGTTTGATTTCCCCCTCCCTTCTCTTGTTACATCCAGAGATGGCTGCTGCAAGCATAAAGCACCTTTCCCAGTACATGCAAGATGCTCACAGATTTTCCACAAACTCAGGAGAAACCTCATTTATTTTCTGCTTGTGGTTCACAGGAGCACTTAGCTTTTTAGTGGTTGACACTATATCTATTTTTAGCATCATTTTAACAGCTGTCACTAACAGCTAAGATCTCATCTTGAATGGGGAAGGGAGATTATCTGTTTTATTTAAGAAAATCAAACTACATAATTGTCAGATTGTAAAACATGATTTGGATCTTTATCTGTGAAGAGAAAAAGCTATCTTCTCCCATTGCACCAATTCCATTTAAAAAAAAAAAATAAGGGGGAAAGGGGGACCTACAGTGGGCTTGATAAAATAACAAATGAGCTTTGCAAGGTTTGGAAATAATGCTGTTCAAAGGCACATTTCCAAATCCATTAAAAGCAGTCCCATTACTGCCTTCTGCAGCTGTGTCGTGATGGGGGAAACCACAAAGAGTCCAGTCGTACTTTTCCAAGTAGGTCAAGAGGAGCAGCACAGACACCTCTGACGGGCAATTCTCTCCCTTCACGTTAGATTTTCTGAGAGGTTAACTCATGTCAGACACATGACACTGAAAGCAGCAGACAGACAAGCGTAAGCCACTCTGTAGCAGATGTCATTTCTGCGCCTAAAGATAGTGGTAAATTTGCCATGGATCATGCATTACAAAGCGAGGTAGGACTGAAACTCTGCAAGTGTCAAATTTTACCTCCTCCCATTCTTCATAAAGCCAGGAAATGGTATTAGGGCTGCAGGAGCAATGATGTAGTGTAAAAGCAGCCTACTGTACCGTCTTACTTAGAGGTCATGTGCCCTATTTTGAGAACTGAACCAAAGCGGATGAAGTTTTGAGTCGCTTCCAACTAAGGCAGCTGGGCATTTCCCACTCCTCTCCAGCTCCAGCCCAGGAAAGCAGGCAGTCACATGGCCACATATATTATTCTTTCACCTGGTATTATTCACTGTAGATTTAATTTTTATGCCATTTGGCTCACGTGGCTTTGATTATTCAAGAATTAAAGCTGATCAGGAGGAGCTGCATTTTGGGAAGACACTGGAAAAACATTGGGGATGGCAGATGAGAGTTTACTTTCCCTGTCCAACAGGTGTGAGAATTCCGAGAGAGGAGTCCACAGTCTCACCAGTTAAATGTGTCAGAGCTAGCTTCCCGAGCCATGCTGAAAGCCTTTAGAGTCCTTTGCAAGACCTGGGAAAATGTAAGTAAGCATCTTTTCTATATGCTTGTGTTCTCTGTGATTTATCCATTTAGTCTAATTTTGAACAATTTTATGTTCTAATCATAGATAAATCTTCTAGCTGAGCAACAGAACATATTGCCTTTTAACCTGGATTCTTTCTTTTCTGTCTTTTTTTTTTCTTTTCTTTCTTTCTTTTCTGTTTTTTAATGCTCCTTAATGGCCCATGCTATAACTGTGGTTGAACCGCATCTAAGTATAGTGCAATTGCATTTCTAATGCACGTTGGCATTAGCAACCTCTTGCTTGTGTAAAGCTCCAAGACATGCATTTGAAAACACAGATTTCCAACACATTTAAAATCACAGGTTTTTACTGATGATTAGCAGCAACAGTTTCATCCGGTTCAAAATGAAAACATCTCACAAAGAATTACTTGTTGTGAGTAATGGGTCTCATTGACCATGGTATGGCAAATGAAGCACAAGGAATAACGCATAGGCAGTACTTCATATTTTAGGTAGCTTTAATATTGCCATATATATTTATGTTGTTTATAGTCATCTTCTCTTTTGTTTACTACCTGCACTATTACTTGTAAGAAAATGTAGTTTGAAAGAAATGGAACACACACAAAAATTGCCATCGCTACAGAATGCAGGCTTATCTCACTATTAATGAATTCCAAAGAATAAAAGGCAGTGGCAGCTAATTGTATCTTAGTATTTATCTACTGCCTACTGGCATTTTTGCAGTATCAAATAGTAACTCATACCGTAATCTGATTAAAATTTTCTAGTAACTGTAATAGTACTGCACCTATGCCAAAAACCCAGACACAGAGTTTAACAGCAGTAAAAATAAGAGAGCAAATAACACCCTCCAGCACTTAATAAACATACCAAATGCAAATTGGAGGAAATTATTTAATCACTTTATAGGCTAGTTAATTTTGATGATTATTCACAGTTCTAGTCGCGATACTTAGTGCAGAACTAGTTAGTATCCAAATTGTTGTAACACCAAGGTTGTAAGTAGATTTTGAAACTTGCTGTATAGAGGAAATTACCTTCCTGGTTGAATGAAGGTGCAACTTTCAAGCTCCTACAACAAAAGGAGAATTCTTATGTAATTTTCCAGATTCTTCTATAATCCTGAAATCAGCTGCTCTCAGATATTGTGCAATTAGAGATGGTTTGATATTAACTTGCATTCATTTTAAGACTTGAAAGACCTTTGTTTTCTAAATTTTAAAAAATCTTTATTTCCTGGAAAAGAGAGATTTTGGATGGGCTGTCTTTGAAACATACTGTGAAGAAGAGACTGAAGAGAGCAATGCTATGAAGCTGAGTTAAGAGACTGCTCAAGAAAAGTGTTAATTTAACATGTGCCAAGACAGAAAAGGAGAAAAAATCTATTGATTTTTGTGGAAGTTGCACTGCTTTCCTAAATAGATTTAGTCTGTTGACTTTTTTTCTTATATCAAATATGTAGGCTGTGGATCATAGGTAGGCTGTGGTCCAGCTCAAGGATCTTATTCAATGTGCCATCTGGGCCCAAGCTGGGCAGTTGATCTCGCATGACGCGGAGAGTTGGTCCTTCTCGGACGCATGTTGATTTGCATAGATTTGGTTAAGAAAAGAATATATTTGGCACAAGGAATCATAAGTTAGTGTTCTGAGAAAGTGTCCTTACTTTGAAGATGATGGTCACACTAGAATTTGTCTGGCCTAGACTGAATGTTTGGTACTGAAAGGTCATACATTCCAAAGTTTTCCCATTTTACTCACTGATTCTTGGTTCACAAGCCAGGAGTGACAAAAATGTTGACACACTGGATGGGTTTGTCTCTGATGCCCCAAACACATGGAAATAAACAGTGATTCACAGGTAACAGTATATATCCTCACCAGCCCGGTTGCCTGGCTATGGTTTATTCTCTTTTGGTATGAGTGTAAGTGACAGTCGCTCAGCTTGGTTTCCAAAAATGATTCTGTCTATATCAGTGCTTGTACAATCCTGGCGCCTGCAGCATCCAAGTACCATGCAGACATATTTCTTCCAAGCTCTGGAAAGAAGAAACAGCCTTATCACCATTTTATAGTCAGGGAGTGGAGAAACAAAGAGATTGCAGGATTTATCTCAGGTTCTCTAAGAAGGCTGTGACAAAACTCGGTACTTCCCAAATCACAGTGCGCTGCTTTTCATCACAAGACCATATTTCCTTTTCAGCCATTGCCTTCCCAAGTTCACTGCTGCATGAGCATGGATTGCGTGTAGTTAAAACACATTTGGTTGTTGTCCGGGAAAGGAAAAAACTCTGTGGTCTGTTTGAGTGTATTCATTATTGAAATGAATTTCGAAAACCCATATTGTCAGGGCTTTTTACCATATGGATTAGCAGCAGCCGCTAAAGATTGACGTTACCTTGCTTGCTGAAGCCTGGTCAGAAGAGTCACATTCCATGAATGTGCAAGAATTTCTGGCATGAATTCTTGGACATGCACATTTACATTTTGGCTTCTGTGCATGCTGTTCATGCACTCACCACTTTGAACTTTGGTTCTCATGAGTAATTCTGACAATAAAATTCATTCCTTCATATATACATGGAAAGCAAACACAAAAGAGGCAGGAACATGGCCAAATGAAAGTAATTTCAAGTGTTTTTTTTTCTTTCTTTATTATTTTTTATTTTGTTCTCAGCTCTGGCTAGACAGTCACAGAGTAGAAATTATGTACCCCTCTCAAGATTTCTAAGGGAAGATCATCCAGGACTCAAAAGAAATCGTGTTTGTTTAACAGCCAAAGTTGGTCCATGACAGGAATGATAGATGGTTTAGCAAACAAGAATTTCTCCCAGTATGGTTCAGTTATGTCCCCTGCACATGAGTTAAAATTGAAAAAATGAGCCTATCAAAAATCCTTTTTGCTCAACAACTGCACAGAAGACATTGGTTACATTACTCCAAACGTAAGATGAGGTGCTGATCGTTTTAATCTGCTTCCTTGGTTCTGTTCTAGGGAAAGAACACCGGTCACCATGATGCTAGCCCTGCAGGTGAGCTTCACTTTTCAAGCCCGGGGTGTTACTCTTTTCCATAAGAGGAAAGCATAAGAACAGTGAAAGGAAGCAGAGGATTGTTTAAGGAACTAGAGCTGGATTTGTGGTATTTATACTACTTTTATGTAATAGTAACAATAGTGATTGCAGCACATTTTACACTGTCAGGAGAGAAAGAGTTAGATCTTCTTTTACTGGGAATCAGAAGCAAACGAATAAATAAGCTAGGCAGTACACTCCCTGTCTGTATTTTTTACTTCAGCGCTTATACTGAAGGGTGTCTAGTTCTAAGCAGGTGCTTCCTTCCTTGTAAACCCACTGTGGAAAGCAAATGAATCCCAGGGACTGTCGCTCCTTGTTGATCATCAGTGGGCGTAGATGCAGTAGATGTAAAGGTCTATGACTCACTGAGCGTGCTAAGGTGAAACCAGAAGAGAGTAGATAATTGCACCATTATAAAAAGAATTATCGCAGTTTGATTACAGAAAAAAAATCTTCTAATGGTGCCGTGACTCTAGGGAACTAAAATACGGGATGGGACCAAAAGTGACAAGTTTATGTCAAGGGATGGCAAAGTGTCACCTTTAATTGATCCATTTTAATCAAATGTGCCAAAAAAATGATTTCTAGGATTGAAGGTACAATGGGTCAAAACAGACTGAAATACTTCCCTGTGCCAGTTCTGATTAAAATGAAATGAAGACAAATCAAAGACACAAATTGACACAGGCAAAAAAATTCTGAATCCAGAGATTACTAGAATGCTTCATAAAAGAGATTGTGCAACATCCTGCCTTATGTACAAAAAATATACAAAGTTCAAAATCGCCCCATCTAGTTTGATAATCTGTAAATTGAAGAATGAGATGGATTGCAAGTAATCCAGATTGATATGAGAACTTCAGATACTCAAGGCAGTGAGAAGAAGGCATTTCCTTTCAACAGACAGTGAAGAATAATTTGGTGTCACATAACCCAGAAAACATGTATGTAAAATGCAGAAAGTATTTGGGCAATTAAGAACAAAAAGCAAATGTGGTATAAATTAATGGGTATCTGTGACCTTTAGAGAGTCCATGAAACTTGGCAGGATGGTTTTCATACCAGTGATGACATTATAAGATGACTACAATTTAGGCTGCAAAGGCAAAATGAAGAAGACAATGAATGAGGGTGTGGAGGACAGTGGTATCTCCTCATTAATGGTGGTGCAGCACAGAAGGAAACTCATCCATCCATCCCAGCTGTATCAAAGACTTGAAGCACACCAGCAAAAGCCTAACCTTTTCTCTTTCCTTCGGGGTCTTTGTGAGAGTTCTAATAGTGGTATCCACTAACGTGGGTACTTGGGGAGGTACAAGTCTTTGGGAAATCTGACCAACGAAATGGGGGGCTTGGAGCACTCCTTCAGGAGGGCAGAGATGCTGTTTTTACAGGGAACTGAACTGAACTGAACTGAACTGAACTGAACTGAACTGAAAGAGGGCCCCCATATCAATGCCCCCATGTCAGCATTGGTATGCAGGGCTTGGTATCCTGGCTGGGAGAGCAGAGCAATCTCTGCAGGCTTGAGCTGGTCTCTCTCCCTGTGAAGCACCTTCACCTGCAGCAAGTAGAGTCAGCTCTAAGCACAGGGTGGATGAGATTTCTGCAGGATGTGACCCAGGACCTCTGCCCTAGGGAGACAGAGAGTTGAAAATAGTAATGGTCAAAATAGAATAGAAGTGGAACTGCAGAAAGGAGGCAGCAGAAATGTCCATTTCAAGCATCCCTTTGATAATTTCCTATTAGCTCAGTCTGGGTCCGCAGCTTCAGGGGTATAGTTTGGAGGGAAGAGACTGGCAGGAGTTTTTGAGTATCACCTTAGGGATTGTAACACAGGGGAAATCATTCACAGCTCTCAAACTGAAAGTTTATTTCCATGAAGATGGGAAAGGATTGGTGAAGATACATCAAT